TGATCAAGTGAAGCCTGGCCATTTTGCGGTGTTTTTGGAAATATGTACTATAATTGTACGAAAAGTACTGAATGATACTATATTTGGTATTAGGTGAAGAGATAGAGATACAATTCTGAAATTTTATATTAAGATTACTAATGGAATGAACAGATGAATCTGGAATTTTGAAATTTTGTATTTGGGACCCTGTTGATGGTAGGTTTGTGATAAAGAGGGGGGTTTGGAACGTGTGCCACAAGTGCACAAAAAGTACGACATAGTACTATATTTGGTACAATTTTGTGTTGGGTGAGGTGATAGGGCTTAAAATCTGAAATTTGGTAATAGAGTCGCTGTTTATGTGAAGCCTCGACATTTGGCGGCGGTTTTTGGAAATGTGTACTATAATTGTACGAAATGTACTGAATAGTACTACAATTGGTATTGGGTGAAGGGATAGACATACAATTCTGAAATTTGATATCAATATTACTGATGGTTTCTGTGAGACGTGTTGAGATTAGGCAGTGGTTGAGAAATGCTTTCTATATTTGTGCGAAGAGTACTAAAGCTGGAAATACATAAAGCGCTTATCTGGCTGGCTTAAGTCATCGGCTGGCTTCTTCGGAAATGAACAAAGGAGCCCAGGGCCAAAATCGAACTAAGTCAACCTAAAACTCCTTTCTTCATATACGAAGATAAATATGCTCTTTATGTATTTCCAGCCTAAATGTGGTTTTGGATGAAGGTATATTTGATTTTGATATCTGAAAATGACATATGGAAGAGGTTTTGAAAATGTGATCTATAATTGTAAGAAAAGTACTATATTTGGTAAAAGTAAAGGAGTAGAGCTGAAATCTTGGAATTTATTATGGATGTCACTGTTGGTGTCTGCGTTAAAAAAGAAGGTGGTTTTGGAAAGGCAAATATATTCTTCATCAAATGTCACTATAAGTAATGAAAGGAAATTAATTTCTATTTTTTGTATAAATTTTTCCTTGGCCTTTCTCGACTCGACTCTCGAAACTAAAAAAAGAAACTAAAAAAAGCATTTTAGAGCGATATTGTCATAATGAAAAATATTCTTCATAATCTCCTTCATAATGTTTTGCCATTTTCGAGTTGATGCATAAAAGTAATATTATACTTCGTTTTAGATAGAAAGTTCCAAAAGATGAAATATTAAACATCAAATTTTACTACAAATCTCAGAAAGAAATATTGAGGACTTTGCAGATACTGGAACAGGGCATATATATTTAAGTTTAATTGTTCTTAAGAAAATTAAAATCGAAATGTATAAATTACTAGGATCGCTGGTCGATAGTTTTTGGGGGTAGTCTTTTGAACCCATTTCTCTAGGGTGCTCACTATATATGATATATGAATGAAAGCTTGTATCACCCCTTCGATATCCTATAGAGTATACTACTTAATACATATCTTCTGTAGTTTAAAGATTTCGTTCATTGAATCGTTAGTGGTTTATAAACACCTATAAAACTTCAGCAAAAATTCCGGAGCTGGCCTATTTTAACAAACTACTAGTAAAAACAAGTAAAAAATCTGTAAGTCCGGCCGGGCCGAACTTTGAATACCCTCCATCATTTGCAAGGAACTTGAAGAAATTAAAAAAAACTGCCGAAGAATACCATTTAAATGAAAACGTTTATTTGGGGATATACGAAGACGAGGACCTGCATACATAATTTTTTGTCATAGGCTGTAGAATAGACCCCGAACGTCAAATACGAAATTTAAAACAGTTACGTTGAATAATGTCGCTAATATCATCAAATTTGAAACAATTCCGCAGGATATTATCAAATTACCGGATAAAGGGAGGTGCCGTTATATGTGGGCTATACGAAGAAGTGGACCTGCAAATACAATTTTCTGGCATATGTTGTAGTACTCATTACGAACTTCAAACTTTAAATACAAAATTTGAAACAATTCCGGTCAAAAATGTCGCTAAACATATTAACCGAATATACTATACCGAATATCGGAGGTACGATATCGTGGGGGTTATACGATATCGTGGACCTATATAGACAATTTTCTTCCAGGGAGCACACTTTTCAGAAGGAACTCCTTCTAAGCATTTTCTGAAAATTCCATTCAAAAATGTAGCTACAATCATCAAAATACCGAATATCGGGGGTTCAGTTATAAAGTGGGATATAATATGTAGTATACCTATATAAAAAATTCTCTTCCAGGGGCTGAAGTACTCAGAAGCAACTTCTTGTGTGGATCTTCAGACAAATTTTCATTGAAAATTTTTGCTAAAATCATCAAAACACCGAATATCAGGTGGTACCGGAGTATGGTGGCTATCGATATCGTGGATTGATATAGCCCATCTTCAAACTTGACCTGCCTGCACACAAAAGACTGATCTGTGCAAAATTTTAGCTTCCTTTCTTAATTAGATTTGAATTAATTGTGTTGGTCGATTTAGGAGCGGAGTTACATCTACCATTATGTTATACACCAATTTGATTTTCTACACTCATCAGCACCAATAAACAAAAAACATTACAAAATATATATTTCAAAATGAATCAAAATAAAAAATTAAAAAAAAAAAAACAATAAACAGATTTCAAAAATTAAAAAATTATCACAATATGTAACAAAAATGTTCTGTTTTTTATTGACATGCGAGTTTTTCAGACTTTATCCTTTTTTGTCAACAGGCCATTCCGAAGATACATAAAACCCCAAAAACATGAATTTTATAAACACTTTTTAAGGATCTATTAAACCAATAACCATGGACTTTTTAAAGAATTTTTTGAAGATCCCTAAGGCCTTATAAATCGAATTTTTAAGATGCAAAAGCCCCATAAACGGGGATTTATTATCAATAAGGCTCATAAAGCTACATAAGAGCTCATAAACGTGGATTTTTTTATAAATCCATAAAGTCACATACACTTGAATTTTTTAAAGATCCCTAAGGACTCATAAACGTGGACTTTTTAAAGAAATTTTTTTAAGACAAATACTTCCCCATGAACTAGATTTTTTTAGATTTTTTTTTAGATTTTTTTTTAAATTTTACATCCGTATTTTTTAGATTTTTTTTTTTGTAATCAGTAAGGCCCTATAAATGGTGATTTTTTAAATAATTTTTCTGAAGATCCATAATGCCTCATAAACGTGGATTTTTTTAAAGGATTTGTTAATGATCCACATGACCCCATTAACTTGGATTTATTAAAGAATTTTATTAAGGATCCATAAGTCCCTGTAAAAGTGTATTTTTTAAAAAATATTTTAATGGTCCATAAGGCCCCATAAAGAATTTTTAAAGAATTTTTTTAAAGATCCATTGGACCCCATAAACGTGGATTTATTAACGAATTTTTTAAAGACCCCATAAACGTGGATTTATTAACGAATTTTTTAAAGACCACATAAACGTGGATTTTTTAAAGAAACTCTTAAGATCCATAGGTCCCCATAAACGTGGATCTTTTAAAGAAACTTTAAAGGATCCATAGGTCCCCATAAACGTGGATTTATTAACGATTTTTTTAAAGACCCCATAAACGTGAATTTTTTAAAGAAACTTCTAGGGATCCATAGGTCCCCATAAACGTGGATTTTCTAAAGAAACTTTTAAGGATCCATAGGTCCCCATAAACGTGGATTTTTTAGAGAAACTTTTAAGGATCCATAAGGCCCCATAAACGTGGTTTTTAAAGAATTTAATTATTAATTATTATTTGTTTAAGATCCATATTTAAAGAATTGTTTAAGGATCCATAAGCGTAGATTTTTTTGGGATGCTTTTAAGGATCCATAAGGCCTCATAAACGAGAATTTTTTAAAGAATTTATTAAAGAATTTAAAAATTTATTTAAAGAACTTATTAAAGACCAATAGGATCCCATAAACGTTGGCTTCTTAAAGAGTTTGTTAAAGACAAATAATTCCCTATGAACTAGGTTTTTTTAGAATTTATTATCCATCCTTAAGGTCACATGAGCTTGATTTTTTTGATCCATAAGGCCCCATAAATGTGGATTTTTCGCAAATTCACAGGATCCCTCAAAAGTGGATCTTTAAGAATTTTCTCAATGCCCTAAGGCCTCACAAACGTGAATTTTTATGAAGTTTTAAAGAGCCAAAGGGGCTTATAAATTTTGAAGAATTTTTAAAAGATCTTTGTGGGCCAATTATTTTGTATTTTAGAATTTTTTTTTTAAATATCTATAAACGGGAATTTTTAAAGATTTATAAGGCTCTATTAATGTGGAGTTTTGAAGCATTTTTTTAAGATATTAAAGGTCCAAGATTTTAAAGATTTTTTAAAGATCCCCAAAAACTTTGGTTTTTTAAGGAATTGTTTAAAGATCCCTAAGGTCCCATAAACGTGAGCTGTTTAAAGATCCATAAGGCATTATGAATGCCTATTTCAATTTTTTTTTTAAAATCACAGAACCCTCAAAAGTTAATCTACTTAAAGATTTGCGCAAAAAAATTAATTTATTATTCTATAGTTTTGACAAAAAAAAAAAAACCTTTTAGCAGAAAAATCCTTAAGTTGATCTTCTTTCCAACTTTACAGCCCCCACATCGATGAAAATTCATAAGTTTTTAATTTTTGGAATATTTTTTATTCATTTTTCATAACTTGAGGAAAAGTGTCTGAGAGAAAGTGTCTTTCATGAGGAGAATTGTCTGCCTATTTAACCGCTTCTGTTCTTCCTGTTGCGACGGGCAATGCGGCGATGTCTTTGCAGGCGCTTTCTGCGGTTGCGGCGAATCTTGCGATTGCGACGAATTTTACGGTTGCGACGTATCTTACGATTACGACGTATCTTACGATTGCGGCATACCTTACGATTGCGATTACGACGACGCACTTGTCGAACCTTGCTGCGATTGCGACGGGTACGTCGCACCTTTCTCAAATGACGATGGCGGCGAGCACGTTCACTTTCAGCCTCGGTATCATCAGCAGCGGCAGCATCAGTAACGTCTCCGTTTTCTTTCATTTATCTCTCATCAACTTCATCGAGAGCCAGGAAACGAGGAGTTGTTGGAGCAGGAGGAGAGGTGGCAGGATCAGCAGTTGCAGGAGGTGAGGTGGCAGGCGGTGAGCTTGCAGGTGGAGAGGTTGCAGGTGGAGAAGTAGCTGGTGGTGAAGAGGCAGGAGGTGAAGTGGCTGGTGGTGAGCTAGCTGGTGGTGAGGTCGCAGGCGGTGAAGTATCTGATGGTGATGTGGCTGGTGGTGAGCTGCCTGTTGGTGAGGTAGCTGGTGGGGAAGTGGCTGGTGGCGAGGTAGCCGGAGGAGATGTAGCTGTTGGAGAAGTCCCGCCACCGGTGGTGGGTGAGGTAGGAGCAGTAGGACTAGTAGGTGGCGCTGTGCCGGTGGTCGGTGAAGGTCCACCACCAGTTGAAGTTGAGGTGGTTCCAGTGGTTGTTGGCGCGGTACCTGTACCTGTGCCAGTCGTTGTGGGGGTAGTTGGTGTCGTCGACGTGGTCGGTGTTGTGGGTGTCGTTGGTGTTGTGGGCGTTGTAACGGTGCCTGTTGCTGTGGGAGCCACCGTGGCTGGTGGTGGTGCTGGTGTTACACAGAATTGCGTTTTACCCATGGCACAAAGTTTGGTGGCAAAACCACCTCCACCACCACTGCCGCCACCCTTGAAAAAGAAACCATTGACCAGGGCGTTGGAACCCAAAAGGGTTACACAGAGAAGGATAAATTTCAGATTCATTGGGACTCCCATGCATGAATTCTCAATGCAAGTTGATTGTTGCTGAGAACAAATGAATTTGATGCTGTTGGAGATACTTTGAAGCTGTTTTATAGTTAATCCATCCATAACCTTGTCTTGGCTGATCGATGTTGAGAAAATTTCCAATATTATGAATTTTTGGTTAGTAAGCAATGATGTTTGTTTGAGTAGATGTCAAATATTGTCGGCACGTGTCAAGCCGGCACCTGTGCTAGTGGAAGATGTTGATGTTTTACAATTTTAAGTTTGGAAATTATTTGACGGCTGCAGTGGTGTGTCTACTTTACCAGTTAATGTAGGGAGAACTTTTTTGTGTTAGAATGAAGGTATAAGCACCTGAAGTGTATGTTTGGCTCGTGTAATATTCTGCTAACTTTATAAAAAATGGTAATTGGAACCTAATTAAAATATGGCCTTGGACATTTAACACGCTTTCAGATTTTCCTTGAGGAATAACCTAAACAAACACTTCTCATTGATAAAAAAAATCGAAAATTAAAGTCTCTTATCTCCAAGTTTTCCCCAAAGTCATCAGACCCATTTGGTGTTATGGACATTTTTAATAAAGGAAATATTTAAAGGATAGTCCTTCAGATAAAATTTGTAAAAACAAGTAAGCAAAGGCTATAAACCTGCGAAGCCGGCCATGTGATAACCTACAACACTACAATATGTTGGAAGCCCCCTTACGTCCCAATTCATTTTGGAAGGTTTCGAACGAATTGAGATAGAAGGCTAAAATTTTGCACACATATTTATTTTTCCAGTAGGCAGGTTAAGTTCGTCAATGGGCAATGTAGGTCCATATAACAATACCTCCCGATATTCGGCATTTTGATGATTTTAGCGACATTATTCACCGGAGTTGTTTCAAATTTGGTATTTGAAGTTCGATATGGATACTACAGCTTAAGACAGAAAATTATCTGTGCAGGTCCCCGTCTTTGTATAGCCCCCATATAACGGTACCTCCCGATATTCGGTATTGTTATGATTTTAGCTACATTATTCACCGGAATTATTTCAAATTTGGCATGTGAAGTTCGAAATAGATCCTACAGCCTAAGGCAGAAAATCGTCTATGCAGGTCCACGTCTTCCTATAGCCCCCATATAACGGAACCTATCGATTTTCGGTATTTTGATGATTTTAGCGACACAATTCACCAGAATTGTTTCAAATTTGGTATTTGAAGTTGGCAGTGGATACTACAGCCTAAGGCAGAAAATCGTCTATGTAGGTCTACGTTTTCATATAGCAGCCATATATCGGAACCTCCGGATTATCGGTATTTTGATGATTTTAGCTACATTATTCACCGGAATTATTTCAAATTTGGCATGTGAAGTTCGAAATAGATCCTACAGCCTAAGGCAGAAAATCGTCTATGCAGGTCCACGTCTTCCTATAGCCCCCATATAACGGAACCTATCGATTTTCGGTATTTTGATGATTTTAGCGACACAATTCACAAGAATTGTTTCAAATTTGGTATTTGAAGTTGGCAATGGATACTACAGCCTAAGGCAGAAAATCGTCTATGTAGGTCTACGTCTTCGTATAGCCCCCATATAACGGTACCTCGGTATTTTGATGATTTTAGCGACACAATTCACCAGAATTGTTTCAAATTTGGTATTTGAAGTTCGTAATGGATGCTACAGCCTAAGGCAGAAAATCGTCTATGCAGGTTCACGTCTTCCTACAGCCGCCATATAACGGTACCTCCCCATATTCGGTATTTTGATGATTTTAGCGACACAATTCACCAGAATTGTTTCAAATTTGGTATTTGAAGTTGGCAATGGATACTACAGCCTAAGACAGAAAGTTCTCTATGTAGATCCAGGTATTCGTATAGCCCCCATATAACAGTACCTCCCGATATTCGGTATTTTGATGATTTTAGCGACACTATTTACCGGAATTGTTACAAATTTGGTACTTGAAGTTCGAAATGGATACTACAGCTTAAGACAGAAAGTTCTCTATGCAGGTCCAGGCATTCGTATAGGCCCCATATATCAGTACCTCGCTATATTCGGTATTTTGATGATTTTAGCGTCATTATTCACCGTAGTAGTTTCAAATTACGTATTTAGAGGTCGTAATGGGAACTACAGTCTGTGACAGAAAATTGCCTATGCAGCTCCAGGTCTTCGTATAGGCCCCATATATCAGTACCTCCTTATATTTGGTATTTTGACGATTTTAGGTACAATACCCACCGAAATTGTTTTAGATGTCGTTTTTGAAATTCGTAGTGGCTGCTACAGGCTGTAACAGAAAATTGTCAATGCAAGTCCAGGTCTTCGTATAGCTCCGATTTTAGCAGCATTTTTCACCGTTTATTTCAAGTTTCGAATTTGAAACTTATGACAACAATGCCTATGTAGGTCCACGTCTTCGTATAGACTCCAATATAACGGCTATATTCAATATTTTTAAGATTTTAACAGAATTTTTAACGGATTTTATTTATTAAAAATTTCAAAATTCGTTCAAATGGTGGAGGGTATTCAAAGTTCGGCCCAGCCGAACTTACTGCTTTATAAATTGTTTCTATTTATTATCATTAAATATTTTTCTCAGGATAATCTGGGTGATAAAAGTTAATATTTTTTCACCAGAATCATTTCAGAGACCGTATGGCGCCCAACGTAAATTTTTTTAAAAAATATTTTTGCATGTAACTTCCTAGCTATTAACGAGGTTTGAGGATTTCTTATAAAGAAGGTGGTCTTCGTATAAAGAAGGCCTCATGATGGTGTTTTTTACACTAAAGGCTACATGGTTATCTTCTTCTAAAGGTTACCTTAATTATTGAAGTATATTTTAATTTTTGAAGAATTTTTACAAAACCCTTTTTTATGAAGCTTCAGGTCATCAAATGTAAATCTTCGCAGGATATATTTAAGGGACTTTAAAGGACCTAGAGGCCAATAAACGTGGATTTTCACAGAACGTTATTTAGGTATTTCCAAAGGCTAATTTTGCTCATTAAAGGTAATTATGATTTTTTAAAGGAAATTGTACGTTTTTTAAAAGGACAATAAGGTATAGAATTGTATCCAGGACCATCTAAGCTATCAACTTGCATTTTTTGAATACTATTTTTCCAAAGGATAATTTTTAAAGATAATTTTCTTTAAATATTTTTTTAAAGATGATCTGAGGTGATAAATGTTAATATTATAAGCAGAATCATTTCAGAGACCGTATGGCGCCCGACGTAAATTTTTTAAAAAAATTATATTTGCATGGAATTTCCTGGCTATTAACGAAGTTTGAGGATTTCTAATAGAGAAGTAGGTCTTCGTATAAAGAAGACCTCATCATCAGACAAATTCTTCAGATGTATATACCTTCTTTTTTACACCAGAAAGTTCTCCCTACATTACCTTGTGCGGTAAACACAGCAATGCAGCCGTCACATTATTTCGAAACTTGAAAGAGTAAAACATCAACAATTTTAACATGCACGGGTACCTCCTCAACACGTGCAGACAATATTTGACAACTATTCAAACAAACATCATAGCTTACTAACAGAAAGTCATAATTTTAGGATTTCTCTCAGCATCGATCAATAGACGCAGTTATTTTGGGATTTTGTATAAAACAGCTCGGAAATATCTCCAACAGCATCAAATTCATTTGTTCTCATCGACAATCAACTTGTATTCATTGATTGGAGTTACAATGAATTTAATATTAGTCCTCCTCTGTTTAACCCTGCTGGGTTCCAACGTTCTGGTCAATGGTTTTTTCTTCAAGGGTGGCGGCAGTGGTGGTGGAGGTGGTTTTGCCACCAAACTTTGTGCCATGGGTAAAACGCAGTTCTGTGTAACACCTGCACCACCCCCAGCAACGGTTGCTCCCACAGCAACAGGCACCGTTACAACTCCCACAACACCAACGACACCCACAACACCGACCACTCCGACGACACCAACTACCCCCACAACAACTGGCACAGGTACAGGTACGGGAACCGCGCCCACAACCACTGGAACCACCTCAACATCAACAGGTGGTGGAACTTCACCTACCACCGGTACAGCGCCACCTACCAGTCCCACTGCTCCTACCTCACCCACCACCGGTGGCGGGACTTCGCCAACAGCTACATCTCCTCCTGCTACCTCGCCACCAGCCACTTCCCCACCAGCTACCTCACCAACAGGCAGCTCACCACCAGCCACATCACCCTCAGACACCTCACCGCCTGCGACCTCACCACCAGCTAGCTCACCACCAGCCACTTCACCTGCTGCCTCTTCACCACCAGCCACTTCTCCACCTGCAACCTCTCCACCTGCAACCTCTCCACCTGCAACCTCACCGCCTGCCACCTCACCTCCTGCAACTGCTCCCCCTGCAACCTCGCCGCCTGCTCCAACAACTCCCCGTTTCCTGGCTCATGATGAAGTTGATGAGAGAGAGATCAAAGAAAACGGAGACGCTACTGATGCTGCCGTTGCTGATGATACCGATGCTGAAAGTGAACGTGCTCGTCGCCATCGTCATCTGAGAAAGGTTCGCCGTACCCGTCGCAATCGCAACAAGGTTCGACAAGTCCGTCGTCGTAATCGCAATCGTAAGGTACGCCGTAATCGTAAGATACGCCGCAATCGTAAGATACGCCGCAATCGTAAAATTCGTCGCAATCGCAAGATTCGCCGCAACCACAGGAAGCGCCTGCAAAGACGTCGCCGCATTGACCGTCGCAACAGGAAGAACAGAAGCGGTTAAATGGACAGACAATTTCCCTCATGAAATGCACTTTCCCTCAACAGAAAATTATGAAAAAAGAATAAAAAATATTCGAAAAATTAAAACTTATGCATTTCCATTGATCTGGGGGGTAGTGAAGTAGGAAAGAACATCATTTTGGGAATCTTCCTTCAAGAAGACTTTGCGTTAAAATTCTAGGTACATAAATCCAATTTTTGTGAGCCTTAGAGTTTTTTTACGATTTTTTTAAATAATCCCAAATTGGGAGCTTTAGAGATCTTCACGAAATTCTTAAAAAAATTCAAATTTATGGGGCGTTTGAATCTTTAAAAAGTGGTTTAGAATTCCAAGTTTATAAGGTCTTACCGATTTTTAGAAATTCTCTACAAAATTGATTTTTATGTGGCCTTATGGATCGTTGAAAAATCCACTTTTGTGGATCTTTAAAAATTCCACGTTTATGAAACCTTATGGATCTCTAAAAATTCTTTAAAATATCCAGATTTATGTGACCTTATGGATGTTTAAAAAATTTTTAAAAAAATCCACGTTTATGAAACCTTATGGATCTCTAAAAAATTCTTTAAAAAATCCACGTTTATGAAACCTTATGGATCTCTAAAAAATTCTTTAAAAAATCCACGTTTATGAAACCTTATGGATCTCTAAAAAATTCTTTAAAATATCCAGATTTATGTGACCTTATGGATGTTTAAAAATTTTTTTAAAAAATCCACGTTTATGAAACCTTATGGATCGCCGAAAAATCCACTTTTGTGGATCTTTAAAAAATCCACGTTTATGAAACCTTATGGATCGCCGAAAAATCCACTTTTGTGGATCTTTAAAAAATCCACGTTTATGAAACCTTATGGATCGCCGAAAAATCCACTTTTGTGGATCTTTGAAAAATCCACGTTTATGAAACCTTATGGATCGCCGAAAAATCCACTTTTGTGGATCTTTAAAAAATCCACGTTTATGAAACCTTATGGATCGCCGAAAAATCCACTTTTGTGGATCTTTGAAAAATCCACGTTTATGAAACCTTATGGATCTCTAAAAAATTCTTTAAAAAATCCACGTTTATGAAACCTTATGGATCTCTAAAAAATTCTTTAAAAAATCCACGTTTATGAAACCTTATGGATCGCCGAAAAATCCACTTTTGTGGATCTTTAAAAAATCCACGTTTATGAAACCTTATGGATCTCTAAAAAATTCTTTAAAAAATCCACGTTTATGAAACCTTATGGATCTCTAAAAAATTCTTTAAAAAATCCACGTTTATGAAACCTTATGGATCGCCGAAAAATCCACTTTTGTGGATCTTTAAAAAATCCACGTTTATGAAACCTTATGGATCTCTAAAAAATTCTTTAAAAAATCCACGTTTATGAAACCTTATGGATCGCCGAAAAATCCACTTTTGTGGATCTTTAAAAAATCCACGTTTATGAAACCTTATGGATCTCTAAAAAATTCTTTAAAAAATCCACGTTTATGAAACCTTATGGATCGCCGAAAAATCCACTTTTGTGGATCTTTAAAAAATCCACGTTTATGAAACCTTATGGATCTCTAAAAAATTCTTTAAAAAATCCACGTTTATGAAACCTTATGGTTCTCTAAAAAATTCTTTAAAAAATCCACGTTTATGAAACCTTATGGATCTCTAAAAAATTCTTTAAAAAATCCACGTTTATGAAACCTTATGGATCTCTAAAAAATTCTTTAAAATATCCAGATTTATGTGACCTTATGGATGTTTAAAAAATTTTTTAAATTTTTTTATAGGATCTTATGGACATGTAATACAAATTTAAGTGGCCTTATGGATCTTCAAAAAATTCTTAAAAAAATCCGTTTATGAAGCCTTAACGATTTTTAAACCTTAAAAAACATTTATCTGACCTTATGGACCTTAATGCCAAGAGGGCGTTCTGAAATGACAAAATATGTCACAAACGGTCCAGCCATCTTTGAGATAAAAGCATTGTAGCTAGCATCCAATACCTTTGTATATATTTCGCTATATTTATAAGTCCGATATATTTACTATCGACATCTACGTAATGGTCTGAATTGACCTTTTCGTCTATTTGTGATTTCGCCGGTATTAAAAATATTCGCGGTTTAATGAAAAATCTGACTTTTATTTAACACTAATGTTATGGTCTATTTCATTCACTAAATATTAACCGATGACCATTCAAATTGGGAGGCTTCTGCCCAGCCCTAAGCTCTAGCCGCATGCTAACTTTCGCTTCGATTGGTCTATAATAGCGACCTGTAGAGCAACTGCAAAATCAGGACATTTTTCTGTTTTTGGTCTATTTCAATCCCTCAATATTTTGCGATTATCTCCAAAAACAATAGGCTTCTATTCTGACTCTATCCCCACCTCCATTTTCAATTTCGTGCGGATCGGGCCATAATTGCGACCTGTAGCTTGATTACAAATTAACACGGGCAGACGGACGGACAGACATACATTGCTAGATCGACTCATCTCAGCGAGATAGGAAGACCCATATATTCTTTCCTATGTGGAAAAGCAATATTTCGAGGTGTTACACAATTTTTGGCCCCATCAGACTTATAATACCCCCAACACAAAGTGTTGTAGGGTATACAAAATTTGTAAAAATACGCATTTATGGAACCTTGTGGATCTTTAAAAAATTCTCATAAAACTAACATTTTAGGGCCTTATGGATCTTTAAAAACATCTTTAAAAAGAACCTTGCGGATTTTTAAAATAATTCTATAAAAAATCACTTTTATGGCGGCTTATGGATCTATAAAAAAATCTTAGAAAAGTCCACGTTTATGGATCTCTATAAAATGTTTAAAAAATCCACATTTCGGTGGCCTTGTGGTTATGTTAAGAATTCTTTAACAAATCTACGTTTATGGGACCTTAGGAATCCTTTAAAAATTCTTTCACAAAACCGCCTTTATTTGAACCTATGGACCTCTTAAAAATTCTTAAAAAAATCCAGGCTTATGGGAATTTGGATATTAAAGAAAAAACTTGGCCACGTGGATCTAAAAGGAAAATCTTTAAAAAAAACCACGTTTATGTGGTCCTTTATGGGGCCTCTATAAGGCTCTTTACAAAAATCTTTGAAAAAATCTGCGTTTTTTTGAAATTTATGGATAATTAATTAAAGAAAATCATCGTTTATGAGGGTCTATTAATCTTTGAAAATTTCTTTTAAAAATCCAGGTTTATGGGGTCTAAGGGGTCCTTAAAAAAAAGGCTCTAAAAATCCACTTTAATAATCCACATTTAAATACGAGTAGACTGTGGAGGCTAGCTACTATATAGGTGATGAGGTCTCAGAGGCCAGCTACTCTACATAGGCCTCTTCTGTACAGTAATTGGCCTGAGAAGCCAATTGCTCTATAGTAGGCCAGCTACTCTACAGAATAGTCTGCTGAGAACAGCTACTCTACACTAGAGGCCAGATACTTTGCAACAAAGGTCTCTGAGGTCAGCTGATCTACGCTAGATACCTCTGAAGCCAAGTCAACAACGGTAAAGGCTTCTAAGGCTAGCTACTCTGCACTAGAGGCCTTTGAGTACATCAACTCTACATTAAAGACCTCTGAGTACAGCTACTCTACATTAGAGGCCAGCTACTTTACAGTAAGGGCCTCTGAGGCAAGTTACTTTAAAATACAGAATATAAATCTGAGATCAGCTACTCTACAGAATATAGGTATGAGGCCTGCTCCTTTACATTAGAGCATTCTGAGGCCAGTAGTAGGTCTCTCCGGGCAGCTACTTTGCTGGACAGTTTTCCTAAAGAAGAGGCCATCTACTCTGCAACAGAGGCCTCTGAGGCCACTTAATTTAAAGTACAGAATATAAATCTGAGACCAGCTACTTTACAATAGAACCCTCAGCTACCCTGCAGTAGAGGTACCTGAGGCCAGCCACTTTACAATAGAGGTCTATAAGTCCAGCCGTTTTACAATAGTGGCTTCTAAGGCCAGCTGCTCTACAATGGAAGCCTCTGAGGTCAGCTGCTCTACAGTAGAAGCCTCTGAGGTCAGCTTCTCTTCCTAAAGGCCAGCTAATCTACACAAGATGCCAGTTAATCAACAGCAGAGGCCAGCTACTCTTAGAAGAGAGCTATGAAGCCAACTCCTCTTTAGGTACGACCTCTGAGGTCTGCTACTTTATAAAAAAACGCCTATGAGAGCAGCCATTCTACAATAAAGGCCAGCTAATCTACACAAGATGTCAGTTAATAAAAATCAGAAGCCAGCTACTCTATAGAAAAGACGTCTGAGGCCAGCTCCTCTTTAGTAGCGGCCTCTGAGGCAATTTTGTCAAAGACCATATGAGGTATCAATTTGGACTTTTTAAAGATTGTAAAATAATAAAAACCAGTAAAGAAAGTCTTAAAGTCGGGCGGGGCCTACTTTTTGCTAATTTAGTAGAGCTCCGCATAACAATTAAATGTTTTTATGGCAGAATTCCATCATACACGCTATGATTATAATTATAATTTAAAGTTCGAAGGACTAAATATGCCGAAGCATTTGTATCTTTTAAATTCGGACTTTTATTGCCCATTTGGTGCACAATTAATTTGAAATCGGATAAAGATATATATGGGAGTTATATCTAAATCGGAACAGATCTCGATAAAATTTGGCAAAGATATTTCTCAGCTGTATTTGATACATTACCCTGAATATCGTTGTTACGGAGTGCATATTACGGCTGCGGGTGACAAATATGACAAATCGGATGAACAATATATATGGGAGCTATAGCTACATCCGAACCGATCTTCACCAAATTTGACATACTAGCTTCTAGACTCAATTCGGTCGTAAGTGCCAAATTTCATCCCATTTGGGCAAATAGTAGACGTTTGGTGCACAATAAAAGGTAAATCGGACGAAGTTATGTATGGGAGATATATCCAAATCTGAACCGATCACGATAAAATTTGGCAAATGTATTTCTGAGCTGTATTTGATATATTTAACCAAAT